TTGCCAGCAAACACCCCTTAGCCAAAAAACGAACCCCCATTTCCCAAATAATGCCATTTATTACAAAATAGAATTTTTTTTGCACTGTTTATTTGTTACGATCGATAAAGTCTGATCGTAGAAATAAAAAAAAAGCTGCAGCCAGCTGAATGACGTAACCACCAAGACTTCATAATGAATATTAATGAGGGGTTTGTTGCCTAGGTTATTTGACCAATAGCGTGCTCCAGAAATTTATTTTATTATTAGCATAATGATTATAGGCCTATGTCTATTTTTTTCTCAATATTTCTCATTTAAACAAGATACAGCTTACATTGTTTATTTTCGCTGTGCAAGTATTTTTACATAAACTGGTTCTGTAACTTGTAAATATAACATTTTTCCTTGCACTAATTGTATATATTTTCACTGGAACTTTATTTTGGTAAAAAGTAAAATGTAGGGCTGTCAGTTTCTATTGCTTCTTCATTTCTGCAATAAATAAGATATTTATTTGCAATATTTCTCTTTTAATCAAAGACCTTTACATTAGTTAATTTTACATACCTCCATATTTTAATATTTAATGTTATTTAGCAATCTCATAAGGCGCAAGTCTGTGTTTAGTACAGTCACCTAGTAGGTATAATTGTATCCAATATTTTAGAGATAACATTTCATAGTAGCATTAAAGTGTTTTTAACATTGGTTTCTAACAAAAAAAAGTTTGTTTTACAACAAACATTTACGTTCTATCCTGTATTGGAAAGAAGTAGTCTTCTGTTTTATTTTTTTAAAATTGTGTAAGAAGTATTTAAATATACATGAACATACACATAAATGACATGTACATGCTTTTAAAATGGTATAAATGCTCTGGCTTCGGGAGCTTCGCCCCTTAACCCCACCGGGCCCTTTGGCGTGCCCCTGGACCCCACGTCCAGAACCCGCCCCCCTCCCTTGAAGTATCCTGGCTACTGGTCAAAGAGCAATGGGTACCAGTAGGATGTTGTAACATTGAGTGTATTAGTCTGTGCCTACAAAGTTACAGCTTACTTCGTGTTGGTTTGTCGATATAGATTCAATGAGAGGTAATAACAAATTCGTCAGCTCCTTGTATCTCTTGTCCTGTATGTGTCTTTCTATAATGTTACTTACAAAACATTTTATAATTTTCTTTTCCTATTACTGCTTTCCATTAGTTGGTATTCTTTTAACCTGTTAATAAGTTTATGTGTTCAAGGTACTTCAGACCCGTAAATTCTTCAGATCGGCTGGAGAGGTGGACATGTATTTTATGATTACAGTATCAAATGTTTGTGTTCTCAGGTTCTGTGTTTCACGGCGTTCTCTGTAGTAAGTATTATCATCGGCATTATAAACATTCAACTGCTAAGACTTGGACTTGTTGATCATACAACAGACGGAGAGACATTTATGAAGAAAGATAAGGATATACTTGTAGTGATCGCACTGATTACCGCATGTACCGAGTGTGGAATCAGCCTAATCTCCGCTTTTGTCAGCTGTGGAATCGCAAGGCACATAAAAAAACAGACACTTGGCAAGAATGAACACATTCTATCAAATGAAGAGAGAATCGCTGAACGACAAGAACAAATTCGAAAGGTAATCAAGAAAGCCCTTCCACTCATTAAATACAGTTCTTTTTACGTCACTTCCAGTGAAACCTCAACACCTGTAAATACCTGTAATGAAGATGGTTATATTTACATTACAAGTATTTAATTTTTTTTTCTATTAAGAAATAATTGCAATAATTAATTGCCTGAGAAACCGATCATAAAATGCCATGTATAGAGAGGAGTAAATATGTGATGTGTGATTCAACGTAGAGTATTTTTACTGTAGGCTTACTAGGAGAGAAATGGAGATGTATATTTTTTATATTCCTAATGGCACTTAGTAAAAACGAACCTTATTTTACACAAATCAAAAATATTATTGAGGTGGTGATAATATTCAGAACGATAAACTTATAATTAAGAAATGATAATTACATAATTATAATTATAGTTAAATATTATGAGACATGATATTATCGTCATCATTTATTAGTATTACTTGGTGATATGCTAATATAGCCATTTGATGACACAAGTAGTGATTAGGATTATGGTGAAGTTAGTATTTTTAGAAATCATGATATTGTTGATGACAATGAAAGTGATGATAAAAATAAAGATGTGGATGATGGTGGGAATGAAGATGATGATGATTGCGATGATAATAATAGCGCAGATCCTATATATCATCCTTAGTTCTTTTCTTTTACATAATTTTGTTTTTTTAGTATAGGCCCTATTTGCATAAGGGTTAGTTTTTAGGCTTACATAAAGGTACAATTATTACCGAGGTTTGTTAACGTGCAAATGTGTGTGTGTGTGTGTGTGTGGGTGGGTGGGTGTGTGGGTGTGCGCGTGTTGTTCGATTCGGAAAAACGGAACGGTAACTCGTATGTAGAGCTGAGACCATACCTCCCTGCTGAGACTATGAT